CCACCACCACCTCCTCCTCCTCCTCCTCCTCCTCCTCTTCATCCTCCTCCCTCCTCCCTCCTCCTCCTCCTCCTCCTCCTCCTCCTCCTCCTCCTCCTCCTCCTCCTCACTTTTCCCAGGCGCGCAAGAGCAAGAACATCCCGCCGGAGCTAATCAGCCGGTATCCGCATCTGCTTCTCCCGGCCCCCTCCTGACTGGACACCTGCTGCAAGGGAATCCAAGTTGCAATCAAGGCACGTGGCGGAGGAGGAGGAGACCGATCCTCAAGCACTGCCGCTGATCGCAGGTGGAGGTTGGTACATGGATGTCTAACAGGATGACATGTGTGATCTCGCAGAGGACAAGATGACAGAAGATGAGAAGGAGCAAGAGCAGGAGCAGGAGCAGGAGCAGGAGCAGGAGCAGGAGCAGGAGCAATACGGTCGTCAACAGCATCAAGAATACGCTGAGGAGATGCAACCTGACGCCCAACAGTGAGAGATTTCTGCTTGTAATCGACAACTTCATCAGTGACGATGGCTGGAGCAGGGGTTTATCTCTCGTCAGCGCTGAGCCTCAGGAGGTACCTAGAGCTCGAGTAGAGGACGCGGACAGGGTGGAAAGAACAAGAGGGCAGCTGCCGGAGGGGTCGGAGGTGAATCGAAACCGAATCGACTGGGAGGCCTTGGCTGCCTTGCCGTACCTCAAGGAGGTGCGGGAAGACGAGGAGGCGGCGAGAGGTAAAGAGACTGCACAGCTCGTGCCGCCCGTGATGTTAATGGCAGGGCACGAGGACGCTGGCAATGATAAGCAAAAGGATGTGAAGAGGAGCAGGATGGGGAGAGTCCCATCCAGGCCGACAAGACAGCAGGCGGGGAAGCAGAAGAGCGGCCGAGCTGAACTGCCGACGGTAGACAGGAAGGTAAAACTCGTTGCACCACACCAGCACAGCCCTCGCATCATCTCCTCCTCCTCTAGGATGATCTTCTACTCTGGACCGTAGACGGTCGAACTTTCCAATCAATCAATTAAACGTGGGGTAGAGACTAGTCCCTAGGCCAACTGACTTTGACAAGAACTTGGACTGAGAAACTTCATTTGATTGTCACCGTGCCGCCCGGGCCAGCTCGGCGGAGGGCTCGGAGGGCCACTGAGGCCGGGCCCGGGCCTGCCCGCAGCGCCGGCGAACTAAGCCCGCCCGGCCGACAGCCGGGCGGTTTTCAGCGAGCTAAAGCAATTTTCCGCACGTGCGTCCGGTATGGCATCCTGCCTCCCTGCTCCTTGTCGATGAGCGCGTAGCTAGAAGCAAGTCCCGTCCTCACCCACCTTGCTGCGCTGCCCTCTGCTTCCTACTCTCACCATTTGCTTCTTACTCCGACCGCTGCTGCCTCCTCTGATGCTTCTCTTACTCCCTTCGCTTCTGTGCTCTTTCCTCGTTGCTCCCTGTAATTTTGGGAAGATCTTGTTGATCCAGGTTTGCAGGTTGACAGGTTGGAAACGTAGGCGGACGAGCTTAGCTTAGCCTCATTGTCACCATGCCAAAGGGAAAGAATCATTCTAGCAAAAGAACTACATTGAAGCAAAAGTATAAAATCCAGAAAAAGGTCAGGGAACATCACAGGAAGGAAAGAAAGGCTCAGAAACTGAAGCTCAAAAAAGCTGGAGGGAAGCTTGAATATCTCAGAAAGAAAGATCCTGGCATTCCAAACCTTTGGCCATTTAAGGAACAGCTGCTGAAAGAAGTCGAAGATCACAAAGAAAAGGTCAAGAAGGAACAGATTGAGTTGGCTCTGCAGAGGAAAAAGGAAAAAGAAAAAGCCAGGAAAGCAAAACAGAGCCCTGAACAGCAACTTGCGGAATTGAAAAAGAATGCCCAGAACAGTTTGAAAGACTTCCAGCTGAAACAGGAAGATCAAATATCCAATGGCAAGAAATGTGATATTGAAAACACCCGCCGCGCATACTACCGTGAATTGAACAAGATAGTGGAAATGGCAGATGTGATTCTTGAAGTTTTAGACGCTCGTGATCCCCTTGGATGCCGTCCTATGGAGGTTGAAAAGTATATCCAGCAGAAAGATCCAAACAAGAGGATTGTCTTGGTCCTCAACAAAATTGACCTGGTCCCCAAAGAAAAAGTTGCAGCATGGTTGAAATATCTGCGACGGGAACTGCCTGCTGTTGCCATGAAGTGCTCAACTCAGAGCCAGCGATCAAATCTGGGGAGAGGAAAGGCTTCTCTTGCCACAGCAAACAATGACCAGCTGGGAGGAAGCGAATGCATCGGTGGGGAGCAGCTCCTCCAGCTCTTGAAGAACTACTCTCGGAACAGCAACTTGAAGATGTCGATCACTGTTGGCGTTGTCGGTTACCCCAACGTAGGCAAGAGCAGTCTGATCAATTCCTTGGTTCGAACGAGGGCTGTCGAGACTGGAGCTCAAGCCGGGATCACCAAAGTTGCACAGGAGGTACACCTTGACAAGAAGGTCAAACTCCTTGACTGCCCTGGAATTGTCTTTGCTAAGGATGAGTCTGACGTTGCTGTGATTCTTCGTAACTGTGTGAAGCTGGATGCTGTGGTTGATCCGATTCCTGCCGTCCAAGAGATTGTGAAGCGATGCGACAAGCTCAAGCTGATGACCCTGTATAAACTGCCCAGGTTTGGCTCAGACCAAGAATTCATCCAGCTGGTGGCCCAAGCTCGTGGAAAGATGAAGAAAGGAGGTGTTCTGGACATTGAGATGGCAGCGAGGAGCGTGCTTTCAGATTGGAACCAGGGCAAGATTCCGTATTACACCGAGCCCCCTGCTGTGCCAGAAAGCTCCTTCTCAGAGAGCACGATTGTTTCTGCCTGGGGCAAAGAGTTTGACATCTCATCGATCAACGAAGTCCAAGTCATCGACCAGGCATGTGTACAAGTGGACGAAGCCTTCATGGCGCTACAAGGGCTTTCGATTGGGGTTACTGCGACAGACATGGCGTTTGCAGGTACACCCTGACGTTGTCGATGTGGCAGCTATCAGCCTCTGACACGCTTCTCTACAGAAGCTGAGAGGGAAGACGACATGGAAGAAGAGCCTTCCGAGTCCGCAGCTCCGCAGAAGGCGAAGCGAGATGCGGACAACCTGCCTCAGGACCCGTACAACAAGAGGGTGACCAAGCACTCGAAGCTTGCGAGGGCAAAAGCCACAGCAGCAGCTGTCCGAAAGCAAGCCAAGGTACTCTGATGGTTGGTCTTGTTTGCTTTGACCGTGGATGCAGACAAACGCAAACTCGGATTCGGACTATGACTTCAATGAGGCATTTGACAACCAATCTGGTCAGTATGCTGCGCTGACAAACGAAGACAATGATGACAAGCAAGAGGCGGAAGAGATGGAGCAAGATTAAACAAGATCAAGATCAAACAAGGTCGATCAGGGAAGCTCTGGTCTCGATAAGTCTCGTTGAAACAAGTGCAAGCGGGTGATTGCCTTACATTAAACCAAGTGCGTTGTTTCAAAAGTCGATTAGTACTTGTGTCATCAACCTGGAAGCGAACAACGTCCATAACTCACTCACGTGCTCAGCCATGCCGATTCTAGCATCATCCCGCCTCTAGGTATGAGACTTGCTTCCTTGTCTCGAGCCATGATGCGGGTCAGCTCGTTTTGACTGATAGTCCGAGGCTCTGAGGCGGGCCGGGCTGTTGCAATCTTGTTGCCGGGGCGGAAGTAGGTCCCTTCAGTCGAGCTCCCCTCAGAATGCCTGAAGCAACGGACATGGCGACGATGGACAGGAGAGAGAAGTAGATGAGTGGAGTACGCAGCAAGAGCATGAGAGCGATGGATATGTGCAGTGATCAGGTTGCAAGTATGCACCAGACAATACCTGTGGCATCACCAACACATGTTTGCTCGTGATTGCTGCAAATACAAACAATCTTTTTTGATCCACTTTAAACGATTTTGATATCATAGCAATGCGAGACGTCAGCATGAGATTCGGATGATTTAGGTGAATTGCTTCCGTAGGAACTTGATCGGTTGATACTACAAGATGACGTTCAAGGAGCATAAATCTGCCCTTGACCGAGTTGCATCGTTTGCAACTTTGGGCAAAGCCTCCCTGGCAGGGAGTCCCTGGCATGACGTTAGCTCGGAGAGGATGAAGATGAGGTCATCGAGAGCTTCAACGAGCTCAGAGGAATACTTGTCTAGACCGGAAACATCCATGTCCCTGTTAGACGACGAGGTTCGATCAAAAAACTCAACATTGAAGAGATCCCAAAGGCTCTTCACTGCTGACTCGGAGCATGCGACACAAGACCGAGAGCTTGCAAGGGTCAGCCAATATATCGAATATCTCGATCAGTATTCCCGTGAGTTGGAGGAAAGAGTTTCGTATGACAGGAAGATGAAGATCGAGGGGATGGCCCCTGTCGATCGTTCTCGGCTTGTTTTCTCCGTGCCTTCATCTGAGATGCAAGCCATGAAACGATTAGAGTATGAACCTACGATTGATCTTACGGCTGATGAAGAGACCGACGTGTCTGTATTTCTTGATGAGTTTAAGAGAGCAAGCAAGGCACCGGAACAAGCTCTCAAGATTCAGCGATGGTGGAAGATGATGAGGATGATGCACAAGTATAGAAGGTTTCGAAGAGCATGCAGGACAATCAGAAGCAGATACTATGGTTCCATCCTCAAGAACTGGAGTCTCACAGCTTATGTTTCCAAGCACGTGCGACTTGCTCAAATGCATTCTAACTTCTCTAGCTGGAGCGCGCTGGTCAGAAATTCAATCGTGTGGAACGACGAGTCAGCCATGATCTTCTTGTCCTGCTCGAGGGCTGGCGGAGGCTTTCACCGCGAGCTCTTTCTGCGATTGAATGACAAGGCGACCTATCGGCGTGCAGGGATGGACTACAACTGGGGGAGAGGGTGGAGGTTTGGAAGACCCCTTCCCACACGTGAACACGTCATCGTTGCTCAGCTACTTCGCCGTATTTTCTTGTGGTCAACACGATGGAGATTAAGAAGATGGATCAAGTATGTAATGGGATGCAGAAACCAAAAGAATCAGGCGACCAAAAAGCTTGAAAGGCTTGGAGAAGAACGCCGGCATTATCGATTCTGGTTGAAGTTTCACATGTGGAGGCGATGGTCAGTCGTCAAAATCTGTGAAAGAACTTTGAAGAACATTCCAGAATTCAGTGAGACGATACACGAATGGAATGAATGGTACAAGATGTATTGTACCAAAAAACGACTTCATTCAGAACAAATCAAGAGTTTGGGGAGAAGATTCCTAACGAGATTGTCATGGCAAAGGTTTCAAAGATTTCAACAAATCATGAAAGGAAAAGGTTATCTCCTAGAGCAGACAGATGTTTTCCGTTCAAGAAATGTTCAAAGAGCTTGCGTTCTTGGATGGACGGAGTACGCAAAGTTTCAAAGAGCCAAAAAACATCGAACTCAATTGATTCTGAGAAATTTGTCAAAACTGTGTAAATATTCATCGTTTCAAAGTCGGAAGAGAAAAACGTTTGAGCAAAAGTGGAGGAGATTTCGCATGCAAAAAACGCTGATTGCTCTAGCTCAAATCTCTTCAGCAATGCTTGTCTTGAAAGTTGGGTTGTTGAATCGGATAAGAAAATCTACTCCTCGGGTGTTGTGGGCCCTCTTTGCCTGGATGACTTATGAAAAAGAAGAGGTGGAAAGAAAACCGGGAGGGATCACAACTTTTGGTGTCTGTGACGGTCACTTTGCTTTATGCGATAGCTTCCGGCTCTGGCGCGCGTATACGTTGAGAAGAATCAATCTGAAAAACTTCACATTAACACTGCCAGTTGACGATAGTGATGATGCAGTGAGAACCATCTTTACAAGCTGGAAATCACTCAAGAGCACCGTCTCGAAGAATGATGATGAAGGCCTTAAAGTCGTTGGTGATTTGAAATCGTTTCAGGTAGACATGCTGTCAATGGGACCCAGTCTGGCCAAGATGATCTTAGGCAAACAACGTGAAGGTAGGAGAATGCAGGAAATGCGAGAGAAGATGTCAAGTCTTACTGTACAAGAAAGAATAGCTCAAACTATCAAGCGAATTGAAGAAGAGCTTGGTCTGAATCAGAACCACATTTCATCTGAAATTCCCAAACTCAGACTATTCATGACAGAGGAGGCTTCGAATCAGGATTTGATTCACTCGCTGAGAATACGGTGCCTAAAAAGAGACTATAAGCTTCTGCTGGCAGGAGAAATTCGTGACTGTCTCAAGTCCTTTGGTAGTGAGTGGAATCCAGAGATGACCGCTTCAACTGTTCCGCAAGAACAAATCTTATTTCCTGAGTTCGCCCATTCTTTGCAGTATTCAACAGAAATCAGAAAGAACCTCAGCACTGCAAGTTCACGTAAACAAAGCATTCACATGCTTGATGCAATGTCCGAATCTACTCCCCTGGATATCAAACCTTTGTCGGAGACCAGCGCGGCATCTGAAAGTTCAGAATTCGTTGGTGAAGCGGGCTTACAAAGGGAACGTGAGGCCTCAGGACTTGGTCAGCTGGATGAGTTTGGGGTTGGGGCAAGTGAAAGAGAGTATAGCTCTCAAGATGTTGAGACCCATGACGCGGACCTGATGTCGCAAGAAACTCACGAGAGCCCTTCAGCTGAAATGCTGAGCGAAAACCTGGCAGAAGTGACAACAATCGGTGAGGTAGAAGCTGAAGACGAGGAGATTGTCACAGATGGTCCGATGACAAACCTTGAAGGGTTTCCAAATCAAGAAACGCAGGCCAAGATTAAGGAGAAGATTATCTCTTCTGCCGTGAGCAACTTTCCTCTTGAAAGGATCTCCCCAGATGATATGCCGCACGACGAATACCTGACGCACGATTATGAAACGAGAAAGTCAGACTTAGAGCAGAGATTTCGTGAGATGCAAATTCAGTTTCCTTCGAATGCTTTGCACTCAATTTCCTCGGAAGAAATGAAAAAGAGAGATCGCATGGAGCAAGATTCAGACAAGAATCATTCGAAAGACCAGGACATTGAATCCAATGTCAAAGAAAAGAACAGAGCAGATTACGTATTCTTGAAACCTCCAAAACCTTTCCATGGAATCGATATCAGCATTGATTTCAACGCAAAGGCACCAGAACGTCGAAGACATGAGCCGCTTGACGGGATTGGTGATGCCACTGCTAAAAAAGAGGGCCCTCAGCGTCGGAGGAACGAAGTTTGCAGGAACTACAACTCCTTGCTAGACAAGCTGCTTCAAGATCATCTGGAACAGTCACAGAAGGAACAAGGGACGCATGGAGGCAAAGTACTTGACAGAGAGAAGGGTAGAGAAGATATCCATGGAAGAGGGATGGAAAGAGAAGAATTGGTCCAACTGACAAGACCGCCATCCCTTATGATCTCAGTGCGATCGAGATCCTCCTCTCCGAACGAGCGACAACATCAAGAAATCAAAGATCACAAGGACGAACCCAAGATATTTCAACGAACTACTAGTCCGCCTTCAGCTGCTATCCCTGGCCACAGCAACGACCAGTCTGACTTTGTCGATAAGGAAGGAGGAACGAATCCGAATCGAAGACAGGAGCTGTCGGCAGAGCTCATGAGCAAAACAGTCGAATCAGCAGAAGAAGTCTTTGACTCTGTCGACCGTCTGATTGACTCGACCTTCAAGGAAATCATACAAGAGAATGCATGGATCATACAAGAGGCCGCGCACATCCAAGAAGCTCTTCGAGGTTCCATGGATTCCTTGTATTGGCGTTCAAAGGTGCTCAGCGGTAGATCTGAAAGGCAGCGAGACCAGCACATCGAGAGCTCGAAACGAGACGAGATGGCTAAGATAGCGCAGCAACAGAAGATAAGACAACTGCAGGACTTCATTTCCTTTCAGGACCTGAACTCACAGTTACAGGATGAGCACAAGGTCACAAAAAGCATGAACTTGCAAGATTTTCAGAAGGTTGACACCAGGCCACCTCCCACGATCAAATTAAAGAGCATGCAGATCAAGCAACTCAAAAAGCAAAGTGAAATCCCTGTGGTCGAAAGGGACTTCTTGCAATTGACCAGCCCAGTGCAATCAATTTGGATCAACCTGAAACCTTTCTCGAGTTCGAATGCTGATTTCGCTGAGACAGCCATCGTAGACACAGATATTCAAGTGGAATGCGACAGGAAATTGACTCCTCTGAGTGCTCCGCGAGACAGCTTCAAGCAAGAGCGTTCTCAAACGACTGAGTCTGCCCGTCATTCTACTCGTGCTCTGAAGAAACTCAAGAACTTGCCGCGACCCAAGACCTCACTCGACATGCTTCCGGATATCACGACCAACCTCCTGAAGAGCGAGCCGATAGAAGCTTTCATGCAAGCATCCAATCCAAGATCCAAGAGTGTGGAACCCTTTTCTCGACCGAGTGCTAATGTCCCCATCTATGAAACGTTCATACAAGGGGCAACCATACCAACAGGTTCTTCGATCAATAGACAAGCTATCGATGAATTTGTAGATGCGCTAAGGCAAGAGCAACAAGAGCAACAAGACCAGTTTCAGATCATCAAGAGGCCTGTTATCAACAAGTCCGTCGGGCGGAGGTCATCGACAAGCTTAGACGCGCAGTCTCCGATGAAGATACGCGGCGACGGTCTGCTCTCAAGAGAAGGAAAGCTGTGGAAGCAAAGGAGCTTCAACGCTCTCAGAACTGAGTCAGAGCATTCGGAAGGAACGGAAATGCTTGGCAGTCAACAGTCAGAGGCATCAGCGGTGAGGGCCAGCCTGGCGCATTTTGTTGTTGGAGGCAAGAAGATGGAAACAAGAAGAGCTGAGATGGCCCAGAAGCAGGAGATAGCTTCTGTCCCAGGCACAGAGCTGGAGAGCGAAGGAACACGCACAACAGTTTCATCACAAGGAGATGAGGAAGCGAGGACAGAGGCGAACGAGACTGCTCCTCTATCAACAGCGAGACACGATGAAGATGGTCCGGTGTACTTGTCGATCAGCGAAGAACCAGGTTCCGTCAGAAGATACGTCACTTCTGAAATCCCTTGGACTCCATGGACCTCAATGTCTGCTGCTCAAATCTTACAGGAGCTGCAGAGCGAGGGGTTGGTGGAGCAGGAAGTTCAAGGTACCACACCTGAGGTGATGGAAGCGAACTCAGGAGCCCCGGAGCTGCCCACGGAGCTTGCTCCTGCTGATCAGATGCCAACGGCAGATTCCTCTGCTCCAAAGCCATACAGTGCGATCCAGTCGTCCAGGAGGGAGAAAATCTCCTCCAGCGGAAGTCAGAGCAAGATATCCTCCAGCGGAAGTCAGAGCAAGATATCCTCCAGAGGAAGTCAGAGCAAGAGAAGGAGTGAGTCGAGCAAGGAACAGGAGGTGGAGCAGCCAAGGCATTCAGTGCAAGAACTCCAGCTGGTGCTGGGTGATGGAGGCAAGAGGGTCACAGGTGATGGAAGCAGGGCGCCTTCACGGCAGAGATCTGAGAGTCAGAAGCAGTTTGACTCGAGGCAGGAGAAGAGATGGGACCTTGTCTCGCGGGTGAACCTGGAGGAGCAGATTCAGAAGAGGCAGCGCAGGAAAGAGTCCATCAAGTCCATGTATCTAGCTGGGATATCGACCATGAAGCCCTCCTCTTCCCCGCAAGTTCTCAGGGCGGCTCAGAAGCAGCAAGTGAGCAAGGGTCGTGAGCCTCCAGAGCAGCCTCACCGCTCTCAGTTCAAGGGCCCCTACCTCAGCGCTCGTCGCATCGACATTCATCGCGCACACACGACTGCGGGCTCGAGGTTGCAGCGAGCCGTTGATAGCGCGGGCTCTATGATGCCGTTCTCAGCTGCTGAGTCCGGGTCGGTGAATGAGCTGAGAATTCTTGACTCCCCGAGCGAGAGGCCAGAAGTTGACGAGCGTTCCAGCCAGATGTCAATGCGATCGATACTAGTAGAGCCTGACCACGAGAGCAACGATGAAGCGCAAGTGGTTCAATCGGAAGAAGAAGCATCAGCAAGAGACGTCAAAGATTCGTCCTATCAACGGGTCACACCCCAGCCCAGCTCTGAGTCACCTGCCAGGAAGGAGACTAGCAGGCAGGAGACATCAGTGCAGTTGACTCCAGAAGACAGGGCGATGCTCGACCGCCTCAGCGACTTTCCCGTGAGATCTTCCAACTCGAACATCGCTCGTGTCGAGAACAACCAGCATGATGGCCACGTCACCGAAACGAGTGATTCATGTCTTTCCGATTCTTCAAGCCCACGATCGAGCAAACCTGTGCAGGAGGTCCATGACGACAGCGCGCACATGGGAATTTTACTGGAAGGCCAGCGAGACTCTGATGAGAACGACACAGACACGAGGCGAATGTTTGAGGATGATCATGGTCTGGACCCCAACAAAGCGTCGGAAGAAGGAGAACAAGGCGAGAGATCAAAGAAGAGCGTTGATGAATCGGATGTTGAGGGATCGACTGTCTCAAACAAGGGAGCTGGCCATGATGGAAGACCGACGTCTGAGGACGATGAGAAGGATAGTGCAGGCAGCGAAGTTGCAATAGAAGGGAGTGTGGAAAGAGACATCTTGGCAGAGAAAGAAGAGGAAAGTGAAGAAAAGATGAAGCAGGAGATGGAGGACACACAGGGTAAGGTATCAGATGGTCAAGATTTGCAACAAGAGGCTCTTGTCGAACGCCAAGAGCAAGAAAGACGAGTCGGCGAGAAACGAGCTGAAGGACTGAGAGAGACAAAGAAGCTGCGGCCTGTTGAGATGGATCTGCTGCAAGGGTACAGGGAAAAGAAGTTGACAGCAAGGATGATGGAGAAACAGAGCGTGAGCCCGTGGAGGGAGTCGCACTTGAAGCGATTGGAGAGAGAGAGAAATCTCAAGTATGACTCCGACAGCGGCGAGGAGGATGGAGAGGCTGATCCTCGAGCTGGGAAGTCGTATCGAGCGATGGACAGCCGCACCACTGAGAGCGTAGTCAAGTTTCCGTTGCAGACCTTGAAAGAGACAAACAGAAGATTCGTTGCAAAACGTCTGGAATATCACAGATACGAAGAAGAGCAAGCCGATCAGCTGAGTCATTCGTCGCTATTTTCAACTGGAACCTACGACTACTACCTCAGGAGATTGCAGCAGAAGAAGAAGTCCTACAGCGAGAAGGATCCACGTGGGGGGACACCTTGACGTGGTTGTTTTCGTATCGAGAAGATCTTAAGCTTGATCTTAATAAACTTTCTTGTAGTTTGACATGAAGAGAAAATGACACTGTACATATGTATAATTCTTTGCCAGGTACTTTGACCTGCGATGCAACTTCATCTGATTCCTCCCATCAAGACTAGAATCTGCAGATATGATGAACATCAGGCACAAAGCGCATCCAACTGACCCTCTGCTGTTGCTCGTTCGTCAGCGGCATCATCAGCAAGGCTCTTCCCAGCTCGCGAGCTTCTTCTGGGTCCTACAGTGGCGTCATGAACAGACCCCAGACGTTCTCAACTCACAGTCTGGCACAACCTCTCGAGGAAAGGCAAGTAGCGGCGATGAAACTGCTGCAATTATCACGAGCAGCATCATGCAGCGGCATCGAACCTGAGGGTCCAGAGCTGCAACCTTGCCAAAGTCGGCAGAGGCCCCGACCATGTCGCCTAGAGTCATCCTGCACCACCCGCGATGAAAGAAGGCCTTCGCTTCCTGCTCATCACGGCAACGGATTGCGAGATCCAAGTGCTCCAGTGCCATTTCCATCTTTCCCAGGTCCTGATAGCACCTTGGACCAGCGTCAGCTCGAGCCGAGAGGTTCCAAGAAGCTTGCCGTGCTAGTCCGATCAAGGAAGAGGAATCAGTGCGACCCGAAAGCTTGAGCGCGAGATTGAGATGAGCCAAGGCTTGTCCGCACATCCTTCAGTCGCATCGCCGTCATCCCATCAGACTTGCAACGTGGCATGCTAACCTCAGCTCGAGCAAGCAAAGCCCGCGGCATCTGTGAGCCCTCCAGTTGTTCGCGTCGATGGCCAAGCAGAAAGCTGCGTCGTCAACTGCTGCAGCCAGGGAACCCTTGCAAGGTTCAGGTGGACATCAGCAGGAGAGGGAGAAGCACCTGCAGTCTTAGACTCTCAGCTCGGATGTAGTAGGCAGCGGCTGATCGGGGATTCATGCGGATGACGTGGCAACAGATCTCGTGAGCGACGTCCAGCTCGTTCTGCCGGCATGTGAGGAAGGGGGAGGGGGATGGAGGCGCCTTGCCTGCTCCAGGAACTCCGCAGCTTTTCTCAGGGCATCAGGAACAGATTGAGGAATGAGGTCCTCGAAGGGCACGACGTCCTCAGACATCTGTAACGATTCAGTGAGTCATTCGGCATGCCGAGAACAGAAGCACCGGAGAAGCCGATGGACCGGACGCTGTTGCGGGGGTGGAGCGAGGGGGACTGGAAGCAGTAGAAGGGGTGACAGCGGCTTGCACATCACGAATGTCATCGGCGTCGCCTTTCACATACGAGTATCCTTCTATCGTCGAATCACAAGCTCTGAGATCGTCTATGCTCTTCTCCACGCCGATGGATGTTTCTAGGTCGAGCTTACGCTCGTCATCGTCAAGCTTGAAACGAACTGCCTGAGGTTGTCTCTGCTCGGGACTTGCATCATCCTCGAACAATCCTTCGCTCCTATGTGGGACACTTCTGTCCTCAGTTTGTCCTCTCTCGAACTTCGTTTCCCAGGAAAGCGCCTTCGCCGCCTCATCCTTTCCTCCCTGTCGTTGCAACGACTTCTGCTCTGCAATCCAGGCCTTCAAGTCATTCTTAGATGCCTTCGGGGAATCTTCCTTGTCCTTGTCCTCCTTCAAACGATTCCTCGCCTCCTTGTAGACCTGCCATCTGCTCAGGTCGGCCTCACCTGCCAATGGCTCACCCTGCTCAACTCTCTTAAAGTCTGAATGGCATCGTCGATCGATACCACCGACTTGATCGCATCGCTCTTCCTGGGTATTCTGCCAGCTGCTGAGCAAGAACCTTTGCTCACCCCTATATCTCTTGGTACCTCATATAGATCTTCCGCAGTTGGCTGTCCGATATTGCCATCTCTCCCAGCCCCTCGATAGCTCCCTGCTCCGTCGTCAGAAATTTTCTTCACAGGGACTCATCCAACGAACTCGTCCTGGTCCCGCCCCGTCGAAGCCTACACGAACCTGAGCTTGCACACTCAGAATTGCAGGAGGATGAAGCATTCCTCTTGCCGCTCGGAGAAATTCATGCCAGTCAAGAGTCCCATCGTTGTGAATGAAATCGTGACGGAACTTGTGTCCATGAAGCGCTTCAAGTAGGCGGATCAACGAATGACCCCAACTGGTAGAGAATCAAACAATCTCAACTTCCAGCTCATGTCTGAAACAACCGCAGGATGGTCCTGATGAACGCTTCATCCTCTTCTACATCACCGTCTTAGGGCTGCAAGAAACGTTTCTGTTTCAACATACCCGGATTTTGATTGTTCTTTTCCATCTCTTGGCGGATAGCCTGTCACTCTGTTACCAAGCGTCTCCTCCACCTCTGCGACGAAGAGTGCCTTCTCGTCAAAGGATTTGACTCCCCTCGACGCACTGTATGGTCTTATCCCCCGCTTGCCCGGGTTGTGCGGCGGCTCAGGATACTGGAAAGGAGATCTGGATCGAATCGACTCTGACGATGGTGCGAGCCCGCCGCTTCCTCGTCGTTCTCCTCTGTCATCCTGCTATGTCCATGAGACGTGAACCTCTGACAAGTGTCAAACCTTGACACTCCTCGATCGACGACCTTCAACCTCGTTCCGCTCCCACCTTCACGTCCATCACTCCGAGCTGACCGACGAACCCTACATGGCTCACCATGGTCGTAATATATCGCTGCTCTTCTCCGTGGGAGATGCATCCCTGGCAAACTCTCTCCCTCGCTTCAACTCCATCGCCTCCTTCTCACCCTGTCAACTTGGCACGTCCGCTCCCACCATGTACCTGAAACTGCCGCTCGAGGTCGGTGACGAACTCCCCAGGTGAAGGCTTCCTGGAGGGCCTTAAGACACGATCGTAGCACAACAGACTCGTCGACCTGGCGGGGACTGACCATCGCGGCTTCGCTCTGCTGACAGTCGAGGATTTGGGTCGCTTCCCAACTGCAGCTCGTGGAGGGTCTTTGTCGTTGCCGCCCCTGCACTCAAGGATAAGAGCAGGCGATCATGGTGCTGCATGCTCACGAGGGAAGAGGAGGAGAGGGCGACCCCTGCTGCTCCAGAATGTCAGCATGCTGCTGGACGTGACGATAGGGCAAGTGGAGATGGCAGGAGAAAGTTGACACAAGGGAAGGCCGACAGGGAAGGGAGAGCAAGAGGCAGAGGGTGGGGAAACGGGTGGAGGGAGGGAGGGAGGGAAGAAAGGAGGGAGGAGGGAGGAGGGAGGAGGGAGGAGGGAGGATGGGAGGAGGGAGGAGGGGAGGAGGGAGGAGGGAGGAGGAAAGGGAGGAGGATGGGAGGAGGGAATCACCCGGTCATCTCGAAGCCTCTCATGAACTCGGTCGATGGCATCGTGGATGCCGCCAGCCCATGCCATGGAGAAACGAAACGAACTGAAGCAACTGCTGGCCGGTTCCCCTCATGCTGTCCTCAATATATTGTCTAACATTTCATGAGGCGGGCTTGAAGAAGTAGCGCGTATCAGGACAGGCGTCAGGGGCATGGCGGATTTGGTTAGTGTGGTGGCGGGGTTCCTGTCATGGTGTCTGCTCGCCATGGAGGCTGCGGGGTTGGGTCTGGCCATGCAGCGAGGGAAGATGAAGGTAGCGAAGGGGGTCGCTCCCTTCGTCCTCCTCCACATGATGAGCGCAGCGATGCCAGTTAGCACTGACAGCAAGATGTGCTCTGCAACCAACGTTCTGATCTCCACGCTGATCAGCCTGATAGTGCTTTACCTCCCAATCGGCCTCCTCGAATGGGGCATAAATGATGAAGAGAAGCAGATCGCCTGGTCAGAGAAGCTGATTGAAAATCTAAAGGAAGAATCCCTCGAAACTGGGGAGATAATGAAATCCGAGGAGGAAAGTCAGGTGGAGCAGGACGATGACGGCGATGATAGTTCGACCAAGATAGACAAGAACGATATCGAGGAGATTGAAAGCTTGTACCTCAAGTCTGCAGAACTTCGCAGGGGCATCGTAACCAAAGTGAACGACGCAATGCGCTTAATCCTCGTCGTCGTAACTTTCTACGTACTGGCAGCCATCGCTCTCGGGTACGTCCGATCGTCTTATAGGTCTTACTGACTCTCATGGAAGGTGGTGGAGTCACTGCACAGCCCAAGGAAGCTGGGGCATGCAGAAATGGCCAATAGCTGAACCAAGATTGCCTCCCTTCCTGAGCTCGTCGGCAGACAGCTGGCAGAGCATACTTGTTAGGGTACATCTACCTGTCTATGGACCACCCCTCCTCGTCTTATTCCGTCTCTTTCTTCTAGTTCGGATTTGTGATGTTCTTCGGGTGGCTGGTGACAGTCTCGACCTATCTGATCAGGTGAGCTGATCTCCATATTTGTGTCATGCCCAGCTGAAACCTCCTTGAACAGCGGGCATTTCGAACCAAACTCTGGTCAACGTGTCAACTGGATCCCTTGTATCTTCTTCATCCTGTTTGGAGCACCTACGATGCTCATCGTGTGGATTGTGAGGCTCCCCCATGGCCTTGTTCCTTGTGCTGTTGATGAGCATTTCCGTGCAGTTCTGGGGTTCCGAGGTGTTTTTCTTGTGGTGCAGAGTCATTGCCTTCTCCATCGTCCCCTTTGCCGTTGAGGACAGGATAACCAGCTGGATACTTGCGCTCCCGAAGATAAGGCTGCGCCCACGGGTGACCATCTTTCTGTGCGAGAAAGATGCGAGTAGGTAAGAGCAGGTGGGATGGATACGTTCATGGAGCCTGAAGAGGAATGCAGATGGCAGAGGAGCATGTGGAAAATGGTCATCAACAGAAAGCACCGCGGGTCATGCTGTAGGTGTGCGATCCTCTGACTACAAGGACGGCAAGTCTTGCTAACTCTTCCCATGTGAATTTTCAGCGGATCGCATTGCAGGGATGAGCATCAGCTGCCCGAGGCTCCTGTACGTATGTCAGTCGAAGCGTTGGACGAGGTGGAGGCTGATGTCAGACGATGAGCCGTTTGACCCGCTGACAGGTGTTGGAGTCGAGGACGCAACAATCGAAAGTCTCGTCGTGACTGTGATGTACATTATGGCGGTAGAACTTGGATGATGTTTGAATGTGATTTATTTTTGGTGGGTTCCGAACCCTGTACAATCCTGAAGCCTTCTCGTACTATCCATCACAGCCCTGCAGTACAATCAAAATCCCTGCAGTAAGCAATCGGGTGGCTTGTAATCTTTTTCACAGATAGACAGACATGAACCATGAATGAAGAATCGTATCTACAATGCTCAAGTTCTGTTTATATATAAGATGTTCATCTGTCTCCTCGTGGACAGGAGGGAATGATAATCTGTACATCCCCTTCATTTCCTTCCCGTCCTTTCCCTGCACCTTCATCGTATCGTTCTTCCTTCCTTTCTCCTCTCCGCCCTTTCTTCTCCTCTTCCTACTTCACTGCCTTCCTTCCTCTTTCCCTCTCAACCCTGAACCCCTTCACTCTCCCTCCTTCCTCCCTCTCACATCCGCTTGCTGCATCACCTTCCCCAGCAAGAATCAAGTTTGCCCTCCGAAAGCGATGCAAGCTCGCCTCATGGATGAGCCTATAATGTAGTCGAGACAGCAAATTAAATAGCAAGAAATCCGATATCAAAGAGGCATGAGAGGCGAGGGCAGCAGACCTGCAGGTGGAGACATACAAGGAGGGGGGAGTGAGAGTAAGGATGCTACCTCGGACAAGAACACGTTCCTACACTTGAAGCAGAGCTGGGCTACAGCTGGAATGATCTCACTCAACTTTTGCCTCATCCTCCTGACGAGCTCTGCGCTTTGCGTCTCAGCTTTTCGCTCAACCTTCATCAAAGATCCGTCGAGTTTGTTATCGTTTGCAAAGACGTGCACTCGGAGGCCTTCAACTTTGCCGCGTAGGAGATCACCATCCCTTGTCGCTTCCAGTTTGATGTGTGCCAGTGGCAGTGGGATAGAAAACGCAGGACTCTCTGAACTTCGAACCATGTCGGGGCTTCGCAGTCGCATCCGGAGCTTGTGCGAAGAAGAAAATGAGATGGAGAAAGGAAAGAGGACAAAGGATCTTGAATGGATAAGGAACTTATCGGACGAAGAGATTCTCAGGTTTTTACGTGCTCGCTCTCGAAATATCTACGGACACGACTGGAGGCTGCAGATGCTAGATTCTCACGACCCGGTTCAGTCTCATAAACTATGATAAGTAGGAGTGACAAGAGGTGAAGGTGTTGGATGATTCGTACAAGTTCCTCGTTGAGCATGCTTGCTGGCGATATGAGAGGGGCTTTCACCTCGATGATTTCAAAAGCTCTGCGCCCCCTGCAGCCCTAGCTGTATGGAAGTGGAGGGAAGACAGCTCAAGCCCAGTCCTCTCACTACATCTCGAGGCTTCAAACGAGTCTTTGTCGTTGCAAGGTAAGCAGCCCCCACATTGATGCCCTGAGGACTGACGAACTCTTTCCACCCTTCCTCAATGCTTCAGAGCTCCTCGATGGATTTGCCGATGCTTGTGAAATTGGACGGAGGAAGTTCAAAGTCGGCGTGAACAAGCAGGTAGCAATGTTTGCGTATTGCAGGTGTAACGACAAGTCGTCTGACTTGATTTTGACAGGCAGATTTGATTCTCAGTATCAAACCTTCAGATACAGGTTCAGGGCAGAAGGACCTACTCAAGGGGTTTGTAGAGCATTTGGTCATGGTAAATTCTCCCAGGCAGACTCTTAGCATTGCCGATGTTTTCATGCAGGAGATTGGAGTGAGGAGAGTTTCTGCAATGATTCTTCAGATCTTTAATCCAGTCAACATCGCAACATATCCTCCTGCTGTATCACAAGAATGCCCTTTCAGCAAGTCGCGAGCTAACACCCTTCATGTAGAGATCCGTGCTCGAGCACAGCCCGGGGCTTTTCAAGAGGATTTACGTACTGTGTTAAATCCTCTCAGTTCCTGTGTGAAAGCTTGCCAGGTTCAAGATTACGATGGAGCCGTTTCAGCAATATGGACATTTATCTCTCGCGCAAGTAATTCTGAATGATCTTCCCTGAGCGTTCAGCCTTCATTCACTTTTCTCGCAGGTGTTATTCCTGTCCTTGAAATGCTCTTCTCAGCGGTAAGCAAACTTGGACTGGTATCGAATTGTCTCATTCTCATCTTCTTATCTTCCAAGGTTCTCCTGGACAAACCCATTCGAGACAAGATTAGTTTCGGCGTTGAGCCTTGATAACTCGAGTCAGTGTACATCTAGTGAACTTCGGAAAACACTCGAAGTGATCAGTTTCGCTCTCGCCACTGTCCTGCACCGTGTAGTACCGAACTTCCGGCGGAAACGGATGCCCAGTCTGATGTCCGACGATTTTGGTCTGAGGCGGGCCTGTTTGAATTTTGTATCCTGATGCGGGCTCGGCTATTTTGGGAAATCTTGTCGGCCGATGGCCATGGAGAGAGGGCGATGATGATGCTGATTGTCGGCGGCAGAAAGCGCGTGTCGTGAGAGTTTCACTCCTCACTAGCTACTTCCATGATATGATCTGAATCATCCACTGTGGGACATTGATCCCCCGACCTTGACCGCTTTCCCTGTCTCTCCGTCTTGCATTCCAAGCCATGGGCAGTTTCCGTTCCAGCGACCGCAGGCGCCTCCGCCCTCATGCGGTTGCTTCGCTGCTTGTTGCACTGGCTTTCAGTGCTGCAGTTTGGACAATCTCACACGGTGTGGCACATGGAAGCTCAACTTTGCCGTTCCTGGCTGCTTCGCAGCTCCAAGAGGGTTTTTTGAAAGGAAACATCACTCAGCATCTAAGGGCTAAAGTGAAGAGCGATGCTCTCTCCCGCATCATCGCAAAGCATATAGAAAGCGATTCTCCTAAATTGAATTTGACTGAGCATAAGAAGTCTGTTTCAACGGCCAGGAACCAAACATCGTTCAATGATGATAAAAGTGCTGTTAATGCTCGCAACACATCGGGCCATGGAGTTTTCAATCGCCTGCAAAATGGGAAGAAAATGAAATTGAAGAGCTCAGAGGCAAAAGATGCTCCTTTGATTCCATCTAAGCTGTCTAAGGAGTTGACTCATGTCATCTCGAAAATCGTCCAGCAGGCTGCGGAGGTAAGTTTTTTTTATCGATTGTTTTGTCTCTGATTGAACTCGACCAGGCGGAGGCCTCAAGATCGAAAGAGAAAGAAGAGAAACCCTTAAAATCCAACAAGAACAAGTTGCAGTTTTACAGTAACCCAGATGCTCCGAAAATCCCTGAAACCATCGAAGGGGCAGGATTAAATGAGAGCAGCAGGTACGAGGCAGTGGAAAGTGAGCCGCCCGGTCCATGGACCGGTCTGGAGTACAAGAGGATCCCGTTGACATACCTGGCGTGGTTTACAGCTGCTCTCTGTGTCATCTCCACCATGTTGATCTCTACAAGCCTCATTCTGCGTCACCTAGACTACTACGCATGTCCAGACACTCAGAAGTACGTAGTCAGGATTTTGTTCATGGCCCCGATTTACGCTGTTGATTCTTTGCTTGCTCTGACTTTCGTTGGATGGGCTACTACATACATCGACGTCTTCAGAGATTGCTATGAAGCTTTCACAATCTACAACTTCCTGAAGCTATTGATCGTGCTTCTTGGGGGGGAACGAGCTGTGATCGAAATGTTGGAAAAGAAACCACAAATGCAGATGATCTTCCCACTTCATTGGCTTGAACCATGGGAAATGGGAGCTGAGATGTTCTACAGTTGCAAGTACGGAGCGTTGCAATACGTCTTGGTGAAGCCAACTTGTGCTCTGATCACCTTTGTATCGGGTGCTGCTGGGATTTACGGTCCAAACACATTCAGCCTTGCCCGGTTGCACTTTTATGTGTTTTTCTTTAGCAACATGTCACAGATGTGGGCATTGTACTGTTTGCTCATGTTCTACTTGACCTTGAAAGATGAATTGGGACCGTACAACCCAGTCTTGAAGTTCTTCATTGTCAAAGCTGTGGTTTTCTTCTGCTTCTGGCAAGGCATGCTGCTTGGACTACTGGCTTACCTTGGGTACATCCCGGCTTCGGGAAGCTTTTCATCAGACAGCATAGTCGAAGCTATTCAAGAGCTGCTCGTGTGTGTAGAGATGGTCGTGGTCTCGTTGTTGTTCCATTACGCTTTCCCAGTGGAAGAATTTGTAGACATAGAGGTGAGTTCAGTTCCTTGAGATTCGGTCAAAAGTTTATGCTACTTGTAGGACATCAACGGACAGCGACAAAACATGGGGAAGGAAACGAAGTTCCAGCAGATTCGCCACAATCTGGCAGACCCGTTTCGTGTACAGGTGAACCATCGCGAATAGCCGCAACAGTTTAACTTGAGCTCTTTCAGGACCTGCGCGACGACATTCACGTGTACGGCTCCGAGCAGCATCAGAAGGTTCGTGGGCTCCTGCCGTAGAGCTCCATCTGACCACTTCACCAGCTGTATGGGGCCGTACAGGCAACGCAGGAGGGCATCAACACCGTCATCTCGGCGAGGTTCCGGTACGTCAATCTTGTGTCTCATACCCGCCTGATCATTTTCCAGTCCGCTCAGTGCCAGAGGAAGAGAAAGCGGAGAAAATGTCGGAAGCCCATCTGCCTCACCGGGGGGATCTGTCTTTGGCAGGTGGGGAGAAAGAGGCGAGTCAAACTCACAACAAGATGCAAGCTTGCGGGCCTCCAGGTAGTAGGATTTCAGATCAGTTCCTGCAATCTTAGTCTTTGTATGTCATTCTCAAAATATTCTTTACTCAACCTTGATGTACCTCGTAACACATTGCATACACTACAACACCATGCTGCCCAACGAGCCTAACGAGGTTTGCCATTCTCAAGGATTGACTGCAGCACGAGGGCGAGCTTGTCCATCTCCTTTCTTTGCCAACATTGATAAGCTTTCGACACCAAACTTGAAATTCACGTCAGAACGCGCATACCATCGCAGCGCAGAACCTCAACATAGAGCTGTTTGCGTCATGTAAAGATCGCAGAGAGGCCTCCATCTCCCCGCGGGTCTACATTCCAAGTCAGCCCGCACCCTCACAACTTCAGCCGTTACGTAAAGCTCTTGATGGAGCTGCTCTTTCAGCGTCTGGATTAGCTGAGAAACCTCTTGGCTGGGCTCTTTGGCCTGTCAACGACTGGCCACGATGTTGCCGTACCGACGACAATTCCTTCTCCAAGAGCTCAATGCTGTCATGGCAAGATGACAAATTGATCCTGCCGTCACCAGGTTAGCTATGCCCTGCACACATTACCGTTCCGAACCTCAATTTCTCGCAGTTGGTGCAGACAGGAGTCGCTGCAAGAGTTTCAGCGTCTGAGAGTTCAACAGGAGCATCTATCATTACAGCTCCGCTTCAGTGAGCTGAGTTCAGCTGTCAATTGTCTCATTTCCTCCTCTTGGAGCGAGCACTTCCGCTGACTGTCTTCCAAGAGGCGTTTGAGTTTTTGCGTTTCTTTAGTGTGTTCCCTTTCAAGCGAGCCCGGCACTCGGTCGCTTCCGAGATGTGAGAGCATCTTTTCTGAATGCTCGAGTGATCTGCTCAGGGACGAGACTTTCTCCATAGCCTCGTCTCTATGATCAAGATGTGAGTAAATCGACGGTTCTGAGCAAAGAAGCGAACCTTGCTTGTGCTGCTGCTCTTGATTCTCTCTTAGCCTCATACAGATCTAGCTCAAGTGTTCGCAAGTTGCTTCGCAGACTCTCAATTTCGCTGCTCAGTCATTAGAGAAGTAGCTTTTACATCTGTTTGTACCTTTTCAATGCCGTTGTAGCATGTTGAGAGCTATCGAAGTCCTCCTTGACCCTTGTGAATTTCGCAGCCTTTTGTGTGATTGGAAGAACAATCAATTATAACAGCATGGGGAGGGGCAAGGAGCATCATAAGTCGCAGACCTCAAGCTTCTGGTTGAAGAGCTCTTGCTGCAACTCCTTCACCCTTTCTTCGTTCTGCACTCCATCTAATCAGGAAAGTAGACGGAGGAATCCAAGTTACGTGACCTTACTACACTCGCGTTTGCATTGTGCTATGTCCGATTGTAATTTAGCACGTGCTGTGTCGGATTCTTTTTGGATGAGGCTCAGTCTTGTTACTTCTTCCTCCTTGCGTATTCTCAACGTTTTCTCCAGAAGCAATTGTTGCTTCATGCGCGTAGACACTTCCTCCAGGCGGGATGATAGCTTCGGCGACAAAGAACGAAATTCACTGAGGAGATCCGTCTTCACTCTTTCAACAGAATCGATCTTATGCTTGGCTGATTCCATGAATTCATTGAATTCCTGAATCTTTGCCGAATAAACCGCTTTCGTGGTACTGTGATCGGCGTGGAGCAATGAAATGATTTCATCCCTAAGATGGCTCTCGTTCTCAAGTTCAAGAACTCTCATCTTCTCCTCCAGGTTTTCACTTGAGACTTTTTCCTGATGATCTGATGAATTCGATTGCGAATCCACAAGTTTCTGTAACTCGTAGCAGCGGCGCGAGAGTAGTTGCTGACTGGCCAATAGTGTGAACTTTTCCTGCTCAAGGACCTTAAGCTTATCCAGGAGACGAGTCGCTCGGTTTCGTGCTTCCCTTGCATCTTCTCGTGCCTCCGCTACTTCTCTTCTGCTCCTCTCCCATCCCAGCTCCTCCTCCCATCCGCTCCTCCTATTGCTTCGGCTATGCATTCTGCATTTAGCAAGTAGTTTAGTTCCAATTGGATTAGTTGCCTTCAAATGGATTAGTTCAACGGTTACGCCCGGGCCCGGGGCCCGGCGACTCGCGGCGAGGCCGGCACGGCCGGGGCCGCCGGGCGATTCCGATCTGGCGAGTGACTGGCAGCCGCGCCGGAAGATGGTTGGCAAGTAGGGATTCCGGCGGCGGCCAGCACCGCGGCCCGGCCATAACATCAGAGTGACTTGGGGGCTCAGCATTATGTATTCCGTCGGAGGACTCTCTTTCGGGAAGCCTCCGTACCGTCGGCCGTCACCGGACGCCGCCCGGCCAGGCAGCCTCGGCCCGGCGGCCGGCGGGCTGCCTGCCGCCCCCGACGCGGCCCGGCCCACACCGTGATGCCTGGTCGAACCGTTTGACCAGCCGGTCACATTTTTTCTCTCAAGTCATTATCTTTTTTGTGGTCCGTTGACCCCTCCCCCGCCAGGCCATGCAGCAGCAGCCGCTGGTCCAGGTCTTGCAGCCGTCGCTCACTGACTCTTCTAGCTCGACTCAAAGCTTAACCCAGCACCGTCGGATCAGGATCTGATGAGTCTCAGTCCTGTCGACCACCAGGATGTACTCTGCTCGAGATCCTAAAGACCAGCACTTCTCCCTCTTGCTTGCTGCTCTGCTCATCGTTGCAGCGAATGGGACAACACTTGTACTCGAAATCTCGAGCCCACCATCCCTTGCTGGCTCAACGGATTATCCTTTGGCATCCCAGCCTGTTGTCGTCGTCAAGACAATAGACGGGAAGCCGGCGACCAAGGACGTCACATTGTCTGACATCGTCGTTACCGCATCGCTGCGATCGAATGTGACTGGACTCCAACTCCCTTCCGGGCTCATAGGAAGCACCCGAATCCTCTCCGAGTGCTTCTCTTCGAGGTTCACGAACTTACAGATCACAAGCGCAGGAAGCTTCAACATCGAGTTTTCCAGTCCATGGAATAGCTACCTGCTTTCTGTTCGCTCTGACGTGATCAACATCGTACATGGAAGGGCCTACAAGCTTGCAATCAATATTCAACCACAGGGTGTGCAAGTCAATAAGACGTTCTTTCAGTCCCCTGTGCTGTTTGTTCAAGATCTGTACGGAAATGTTGTAAATTCTGGTGAAGAGAGCGGTGTGCAGATAAATGTGTGGTTTCTTGCTTACAATCAAGCAAATGCTAGTAATCCGAAGCAAATCCAATTTTATCCTCCCAAAGCAAGTGCCATGTACAGCTTTGAAGGAATCTGTAAATTCTTTTCTCTCATGATAACAGATGTTGCAAAGGATGTCAAACTTCTGTTCAACGTGTCCGGTCGTACCGACATTCAGCCTGCAGTTTCAAATCCGTTCAATGTTTTTGACGATCCCCGTACGTTGGAGTATGATACAAATGTCGGAGGCACATATCACAGTCAAGAGGTATTTCAACGTCAACCAGTGCTAAGGCTTGTCAGCAAGAGCGGGATCCTTTGTGAAATTGGCAGCCAGATAGCTGTGTCTGCTCAACTGCAAGCTCTCGATAGTGCAGAGGTGGACGCGGTCCTCTCAGGAAGGACTACTGCGATAGGCAACCTAGGGATCTTTCGATTCACGGATCTTAGAATCGACAAGTCGGGCAGTTACCGCATCCTGATGTACGTCTCGGATGGTCTGCAAATTTCGAATTTTGTCTCCAACGCTATCTCTCCTGTAATCACCATTCTTCCCGGAGACTTATCACAGCTTCAGATCGTTAGACAGCCTGCCGGTGCCATCCCTGGCACGCCGCTTACTGAACAGCCTGTCGTTAGCTTGTTGGATGCTTCAGCCAAGAATGTCGTCCCGTTACAGACAGAGGTCTCAGCTTCAATATTACAGGACGGAAAGCTTCTTGTCTCCCGTTACTTCAAGACAACCTTCACCTCGCAGTCCTCACAAGGCATCGCAACCTTCACTGATGTCACTCTCTTTCAAGCTGGTGGCAACTTCACCCTACAGTTTCAGGCCCTTGGGATAACCTTCGTTCCATCCACAGTCCTTTCGGTCTTTCCCGGTTCACCTGCTGGTATAAAATTGCTCCAAGAGCCTGGAGGAGCTAGCACAATTCGCGTCTTGCAGCAGCAGCCATTGGTTGCAGTGATTGATCCTGGTCGTAATGTTGTGCCTGATGCTGTCCTGTTTGTCCGAACATTCTTCAACGTTACAGGAGAGCTCGACGTCACATCGTACAATGTTTCTTTAGAAGTGAGAGAGAGTGATGGTTCTATGAAATGGCTGAATGCTTCGGAGCAACTGATCGAAGGATCTTCAGGGGTCGCCATGTACACCAATCTGAGGATCTTCGGAGGAGCTCGTACGGGCTTCGCGCTGCTCTTTCAATTCTGTTCGACCAAAGTTTCCTCCTCGTGCACATGGACTACAGTCTCCTCGACCTTCACTCTTTCATCTCCTCCTGTTTCCTTCAGAATCACACAAGATCTAGAGTTAAGATCGTTCGATCCGTATGCTTGGCAGCAGTCGAGCGGACTTGCAGTTCAACTCCAAGACAAAGACGGCATCCCTGTTGAGTGGGACCCAAGTACCTTCACCGCTGCCGTCAACTTCTCTCTCTCTCTCTGCTACGCTACCAGCGTCACGTTCAACGAATTCTTCTGCGAAGGAGAACCTGCTGACCTCTGCCAACCGAGGGTCAGCCCGTTGCATGTCGACATGACGGGCATTACGAGCTGTACAACCTCGATGGGTGTTTGCAACTTTGGTCGACTGTTCATAGGAGCCGCGGGCGTCTACAAGTTTCGACTGCGAGCTAGCGGGCTGCTGAGCTCAACCCTTGACAGCCAGAGCTTCCAAGTTTTGATGGGAAGACCTTCGACCCTTAACATCCTCCAACAACCCGCTGGGTTCGCCCCGGGATTCCCCGCTGCCGTGCAGCCGGTTGTGGCCATCAGCGATGACTTTGGGAACACTTTCCAGAGCGCGTGCGACCCAGCAGCTGCAGCACAAGTCGTGGCCTCTCTCGTGGGGTCAACAAACTTGACCATTAACCCCGCTCGCCCCTCGTTTCAGCCGCAGACTTTCTCCTTCTGCGTCGCATATTTCAAGGACCTCCAGATCGATGGGACAGGCCAGCGGCTCCAGCTGAGGTTCAGCTATGTTGGAGGATCCCTGTTGGGCATTCAACCGGCTGTCTCTGCGCTCTTTGACGTTACAGCTGGAGACTTGTATCGGATCATTGAGCTGGACCCGCCTGGTCGATGCCTTGTTAACGTCACGTGTGAGCGAAGGGCGTCAGTCGTGCTGCAGGATGCAGGAGGAAACCGTCTGCTAGATCGCACCTACATCGTGAGAGCGACATTGTACAGCAGCAGCGGCCAGTCCTCGGACTTTGTCACGGAGAGCAGCGCGTCGTCGGGCTTTGCCTATTTCTCAAACTTAAGGTTCTCACGCCAGGGTATCGGGTTCTTCCTCAACTTCACTGTCGGTGGCATATGGAACGTCTCGTCCTCCTTCGTGGTGTCAAATCTTGCCCAGCAGGTGTCTCTCGTCGTACAGCCTGACTTCGCGCTTCCTGGCAAGGTGCTGGGCCAGCAGCCGGTGCTGCAGGTGCAAGACGAGCAGGGGATACCAGTGACTTCCTCCTTGGGCTTGTCCTCTCTCCTTCAAAACTATCAGAATGAAACCGTCTTTATCTCAGCTCAGCTTCAACGAGGAGACGGGAGTCTGTTGCCCCTGCTCGGCTCCACTCGCATCCCTGTGGTTGGAGGGTTCGCCATGTTCACCGACCTCATGCTGAAGCAAGCAGCAACGTGTCTGGACCTCGTCTTCGTCCTCGTCACCTCGCGCGTCAGCTGGTCCATTTCTTCTCAGAAGCTACAAGTTCTCCCTGGGATAGTCGATCACATCGCCGTACTGAGAAGCCCTGGGCGCGAAGTAGCAGGAGTGACTTTCCTAGTCCAGCCGTCCGTCGCGATCCTTGACGCGGGGGATAATGTCCTTGTCAGCCGTAGCAACGTCCTCATCCTTGCTACCATCGGAGGTGGTCCCACGATCAACAACCAGTATCCCAGCAGGAGCTTCCTCCTCGGCTCCTTGCAGACCAACTCGGTCGCTGGTTTCGCCAACTTCACCAACCTGAGGATCGAGCTGGCGTTCAGCTGCTGGACCCTCCGCTTCGAGTATCAGACGGTCGGCGTCTCCTACTCGACTCCCTTCGCCGTCTCTCCCTCTGCTCCCGCCGCCGTCATCATCATCAAACAGCCGGGCGATGGAGTCGCCGGCCAGGTCCTTCCAGTCCAGCCCGCCGTCGCCTTGTTAGATCGCTTCAACAACATCCTCTGGAACGTGGAGAACACGACGGCGACAGTCACTCTGATCCAGAGCAACAACAACAATCTCTCTACCTGCTCCAACGTCAGCGTCCACCATAACTGCCTCAAAGGAACCACTACCATCTCACAGCAGGACCTCAAACTTGCCCAGTTCGCTTTCACAGACCTGCAGATTGACAAGGTCTCGCCTCAGACTTATCTTAGGTTTTCAGTCGGGGGCATCTTTTCTCCCCTGTCTTCTATGATCCGCATCATATCAGGAAGAGCTGCTGTCCTTTCCCTGCTGCAGGAGCCTGACGGACTTCGATGCCAAAAGTCCATCAAGAGGCAACCGATCCTGTCGGTACAGGATGAGGGTGGAAACATCATCCCTACAACCGTACAGTCT